TACTGCCCCCTCCTCTCCTAGCACCCCCTTTGTGTTCAGGTTGATCAATAAGCCTCTCCAATGAAATAAGCAGTTTTCTTCCCCTATGAATCACAGCTGTAATTTCCCCATCTTGGCTCATCCATTTCTCTGAAGTAAAAGTCTTTTAATGGCTTCAAGGAGGGTCTTTTGATAACTGTTTCGTCATCTGTAATAAAACAAACAATGGCCAGGGAGAGAGATTGATGACTGATGCGATAATTCAATTGCTGGCTTTTGATGATCTATTAAATTACTTCTTGATGCCTCCAGATGCACCTCTAACTGGAAAGGGACTCTGCAGCTCTGAGCAATCACTCTTTCCATTAGCCCATAAATAACCTCTGCATCTGGAGGTCAGCATGCACAGTTGCCAACTGGTCAGAAAGGAACCCAGCCTGGCCTGCTCCTGTGCTGCTAACAGCAGTTTGCTATGGAGGAATCAGGCAGTTGAGCTTTGCACAGCATGGAGAGGAGTACAGTGGTACCTCGGGTTAAGAACTTAATTTGTTCTGGAGTTCCGTTCTTAACCTGAAAGTGTTCTTAACCTGAAGCACCACTTTAGCTAATGGGGCCTCCCGCTGCCGCCACGCCGTCGTCGTACGATTTCTGTTCTCATCTTGAGGTAAAGTTCTTAACCCAAGGTACTATTTCTGGGTTAGCAGAGCCTGTAACCTGAAGCATTTGTAACCTGAAGCGTCTGTAACCTGAGGTAGCACTGTATTATCATCTCCTAGCATCTGCATGCCAAGGCACAGGGGAGCACCTCATAAGAAAAAGTTGGCAGTCCTACTGGTTTGGCAGGTGGATGATGCTGGGTCCACTAGCATTTCTATTGTATTTCCAGAAAGTAAAACTAGTCGTTAGGGGAGGGCAATTCTGTCAGTTTCAGTTTATTATTTTCCCAACCTTAAATTCAGTTCTCCATGTATCCACAGCAGTTTGTGATATATATATATTCTTTGGTAATTGTAGCCGAGTAAGATTGTCTTCCATGAACACGGTTTTGACAGAGAGTCCGTAAGTGACTGCGGAGGCCAATTCTGGATCCACACGTCCTTCCATAGTGGGGACATAGGTTTCCAGGCAGGAGCAGATCATGGAGGATATATGAAATTTGTCAGCATTTAGTGTTCCCTGGAAAGTGGGATTGATTGTTAAACCACACTGAGTTCTGTAGCTCTGTGAGGGGAATATGGGCTTCCTAACAACTCTCAGCACCCTTAACAAACCACAGCTCCCATAGTTCTTTGGGGGGGACACCATGACTGCTTAAAGTGGTACCATAATGCTTTCAGTTCCTGCAAATAGGCCCCAGATCTCTTGGGCCTTACTGTGGCCTCACATGAAATGAGACCATACCCTGAAGCAGATGAGGAATCCTTCAGTCTGAGGGTTGTAGTCACTTCTGGGCAGCTTCCTGAAGGCAACATGTAGAGGCGAACCTAGGGTCTCTTGCACCCTTGGCAAGGATGTGTGGGCCCCCACTCCTCCAGGAAAAAGTCACTTTACAGCAGTAGCCACATTAGAAATTACATTTTAAATGACACAAGTACTCAAAAAGTCTGGAGTTAGAACGAGACGAGGAGGAAGGGTGAAAAAAACTTCCATGAATTTGTGGAAATGGAATGGAAAGCTTCTCCTGTATTAGTTCTTGCTTCAACAGTGGTGGGGTGTCACTACACACATATGCATAATATACTACATAGTCTGATGGGTGATTTTTGCAGATGGGGGGGTCCTGCACTCCCCAGCAGGGGCCAGTTCCATCAACCTCTTGGTACGCCTGTGGCGACATGGCAGTGGTGGGCAGGACCAGAGACAAAAGTGGACAGAACGACTAAGTTGTGGGAATGTTCAGGGATGCAGGAGAGGATATATTGTTTGATTATAGCCTTTCCAACTTGTGTTAACAAGCTCACAATTTAGCAGAGTAACATTCCCCCTTTTAAACTTACAGCAGATGCGTTTGCTCCGGCTCACTAAAGCCTCATAATAACTGTTCTGGTATTTCCCCCTTATTCCCTCATAAAAGATAAGACACAACACAGTCTTCTATAAAAGTATAAAAAGAGTTTACTCACATTCTGTTCACAATCGGATCCCAGAAGGCACACTTAGCTTAGAAAAGTAACATACACCTGGAAACTATCTCATAAGGAGACAGCCCCTCTGTCCTGAGCATCTTTGGCTAAGCAGATGTTGCTTCTTTGATGCATGTAGTCAAAAAGAGAGAGATGGCTGCCCTGCCCTGTGCTTTTGTCATTACATGCACAGGTGAGGCCACACCCACCTCTAGTCACATGCAGAGGAAGTCTGTCCCAGCCCAGAAGGAAACAGGAAGTTTAACTGCTGGCTGGACAAACATTTCTCCCCATGTGTAAACATGTTCACTCCAGGAATGTTGTACTTGACTGCCCTTGTATTTCACATCCCACATAAGTATACATTTTACTTTTGTATAGTCCATTGAGAGCCAGTGTGGTGTAGTGGTTAGAGTGTTGGACTAGGACCTTGGAGACTGGGGTTCAAATCTCCACATGGTCATGATGCTCACTGGGTGACCTTGGGCTGGTCACAACCTCTAAACCAAATCTACTTCTCAGGGTTCTTATGGGGATTAAACGGAGGCAACGAATGAATGAACAAATGATGGTTTCTACACCTACCCCTTTCTGTCCTCCATCCAGATCAGCAAGAGATATTATTGGAGTTCAATGACATATTCCTGCTAGGTAAAGATATTCAGGATGTGGAGGAGGAGTGTGGCCTCTGGAGAGAGGTGGTGGTACTTTGTGGAGGGTTCTGGTGACCAGAGATAGAGATCTGGGGGGTTGCATTTGGCCGTCAGGTTTGACATTCCCCACCCCTGCCCTAGAACACACTCGCAACTCATCCAAAGCTGCAGCTGTAGACACAAATTGGCAGTGGTGGGCAAGCTGTCTTTGGGGAAAATGGGTCCACATCTGCTGCTCTAGAGAGGCGAGCAGTTACAGATAATCTGGTCAACTGCATGAGACGGGCAGAGTGGGAAACAAGCCAAGAGCCTAGTCAAAGGATCCTGTGGATAAAGAAAGGCCCTAGGATTGCCTGGAAAGACAAGAGAGGTATCTGGGAAACAAAGAAGGTGCTAGGAGTCCAGTGCTTAACCTAAATCGCACATACTGGTCAGGTTTTCAGTTTGGAATTCCCAGCACATGTAAACATAGATGCTTTAGACCTTCAGAACAACTTTAGGTGCCCCCTGCCATGATCTCACAGAGCTTTGTTAGACAATTCGCTGCCTCCTGCCCCAGTTTTCTTGCGAGGATGAGCATGTATTGTGCAGTGGGATATCAGAAATGCAGAGCCCGGTGTCTCTTGCTTTCCACATTGAGACAAATGCCCTCAGGGAGTATCCCAAGAGCAGGTACCTGTGCTGCCACTGAAGGGACTGACAGCAAGGAACAAGCAGTCCTGGTTCCTCCAAAGAGATAAATTTCACCTTTGGCTGACTCCCCTCCATTTTCAAAAGAAGGTCAGGCACAAAAACAGGATGATGCAAGGTGAAGTCAGGCAAACCTTGTATTGTGGAGTGAACGAGAAGAGTATATGAATGCTTCTTTGCTGCTTTTAGACTTAGTAGAAGGTGGGGTAAAGTATGGACCACACAGCATGGGCAGTTATTAAGGAACATGTAGCATTTGTTCCAAGGTTAATGAATGACTGTATATGCACTCCCATGTGGTGAGAGAAAGAGATACTTTATGAAATTCATGCATCAATGCCTTTAATTCATGGGTTTATTGTGCAGGAATATATATATATACACAATCATTGACTCTTGAAGAGCTGGAACTTGTGTAAAATGAAGATGAACATTTCCCCTATGGGATGGGGAACCTCTGAAACCATGGGCGAAACCTTTTGACCCACCAAGCCATTTGGGGGAAGCCATGCCCACACCTGACGTAGAGCTTAAAGAGTTCTCACGCTTGCATCCCATTGAGGTTCTAGCGATGGGAATATACAAACGTACACAAATCCCCACATGTCCTTATTTGGGCTCAGTTGTACACAGAGGCAGATTGTGTACCTGGATTTCTTGCTGCAATTCATTCTAACATATATGGAAACAAGTAAAATGTCAAGTAAATAACCTGTATTGAATGGAAAATTGCTTCATGCTGTTGTTTGGTGATTATTCTGTGCCATGCAAAATAATTTATTTGCTAGATACAATTTTTGCTACATTTTTTTTGGGGGGGGGGAATTCCTTGTTTCATCCCGAAGAATAGAAAAGTATCATTGAGAAGAGGGAAATGGCTCCTGCAGTCTTCTTTGCCCCTCTTTGGATAAGAGAAATGTTATACTTGGAAAACATTACATTTATTGATTAAAAAATTAAATTTCTTGGATGAAACTCTATTACCTCTTGAAAGCAAAAGAGGCACTCCAGATTTACAGACAAATGTGACATATCTTTGTCTCCCAGTTTTTACCTTTACTCTTCCATTCCAGCTATTATCAGAAGTTTTGAAACTGATGTGGATTTGATCCATGTGCTGCTAATGATTTTATTTTGCAGTTCCTTATTGAGTTTTAATGAAGTGACAATGCCATCACAGCTGTAGAGTGAGCCTCCTCTGTTTCCGTCTCCCTGCCTACCTCTCCCTCGTGACCACAAAAATGGCAAAGGAAGATGGTGATCTGATTTAGACATTTAATCATAGGTTTTCTTCTTACAGAAGCAATTGCTTGGATCATGTAAAACTCATATCCACGGCTATACAGTACTAAGGTTATGATGCCAAGGATGGTTTAACATTAGGAATGTAGAGAACATTATCCTTTCCCCCACAAAGTGAAAATACACGTTTATATAGGAGGATAGGAAGCTGTCTTGTACTGAGTCAGATGATTGGTCCATCTTCCTCAGTAGTGCCTAAACTGACCAGAAGTAGCCCTCAAAAGTTTCAGGCAGCAACACTCCTAGCCCTATGTGGAGATGCCAGGAACTGAAGCTGGGACTGTCTGTCTACAGATCAGGTGCTCTACCACTGAGCTACTGCCCATCCTCACATTAGCTGTTGGAGAGAAATGTCCAGCTTAAAGCAATAGGTTTCTAAATATGTTTTGCGTTTCAGTGGGGGGAAGCGAAGAAGTAGCAACTTGTTCAGCAAAGCCTGGTAATAGAACGGAGATGGAACACCATTTACGACGTGAGCCATATGCAATGGCTGTGATCTGCTAGGGGAACAATGTACAATGATTCCTGTTGTCCAAACTAACATGCGAAAGAACAGGTCAACCAACAATTAAATAATAAATAATATGGAAAAACCTTCCCTTATGAAAATTGCACTTTTGCTATCGCGCACAAGTGTCCCAAACATACAAAGCCATATTTTAATGAGGCAGAATTATAGGTTATTAATAGGCTGTGCCAGAATATGTTGGTTGGATTGATGACTTTAGCATTTCTGAAAATGTTAAGGCCAACCAAGTAACACCATTATTGAGAAGAGTGGAACGGCTGATCTTTCAAATCAGACCCAGTGTATGCCATAACTCTGGAGCTGAAGCAATAGTCGCCCCTTTCAATGTTTCCAAGCACATGCATCCAAGCCAATAAAATGTAAGTCAATCATTATCAGTGTAGACAATATTGAGCTAGGTATTGTATTGGTCTCACTCAATACAAGAACCATCTTCCATATGGGAACAGGCAATTCTGTGACTGGCCTGATGATTATTTGATCAAACATTGTTATAGTTAATTACATATGAAGTATATATAAAAAATCAATCACAATGAATGCCTTTCATATACTGCTTTTGGGAGTGGGCTTTTCAGCACTGCTGAGAATCTTACCCTCTGTAGTACGAAAACCTCCCCCCAACTCAAACCTGAAAATGGTGTCCCTGATCTCCAGGACTTCAGATGTTTATAATGCTTTGGCTTGATTTTCTTTGGTGTGCTGTTTCCATACACCCCCATTAATTCAAGGGGGTATTTCCTGATTGGTTGAATGAATGAAGTGAGCATGAAATTGATGAAAGTAATTGCAAGTCAGTAATCAGATACTGTCAAATACTGATTGCTAATGCTCACCAGCTGTCAGATACTGTCAGATGTTGACTGCTATTGAAAAATTGTCGGATGGTAAACGCTGATGATGACTATCAAATACTCACCGAGCTGGAGAACATTCAGAGAATTTTGATAGCAAACATTTGCAGAGGAGAATTTTAGGGCCGCTTACTCCCAGCTCTGAAACAACGCAGCACCTCTTCTCTGAATGCTACATTTGATCTTCTGCTCACAATGCCTCTGAATGCTCTTATGCAGCAGCTTGCCCTGTTGTAACACTGCCATTATTATACAGACCCTGTTTCTGGCAAAGTGGCAGGAATTAGCATAATGACATAACCCAGTGTGGGTGCATTAAAACCAATTGCTTTTAACTGCATCACGAAAGGTCTTCAGGGACATGTGTGTGTGTGTGTGTGTGTGTGTGTGTGTGTGTGTGTGAACCTTTTCTCTGAAGGGTTGTTGGTGTTGTCCCACTCTACCCTATTCAAATAAAGCACAAGGACACAAATACTTCAGTTTGTTCTTCTCTAAAATATAATATTACTGACAGCTTCAAAACCCAGACATCTCACTTGTTAAGGTTCCCAGTGCTATGCATGTGGTTTATCACAAATGTATAATTTGGCTAGTTGGAGACACATATTTCTTATTTATTTAAACAATTTATATGCCACTTAACTATCATAGTCTTTTAGAGATTGAACGTGGGGCATTCTGTATGCTCAGTTGCTCTACCACTGCGCTACCACCCTCTCCCCTGAACCTGCCTGGGTGTTAATATCAGTCTCAGAGAACCTGCTCTGAATCCCTAATGCTTCTGAACTGGGACAGCTTATGACAGGAGGCCAGGCCTTTTCTGCTGTGGCACCCAGTCTCTGGAACCTGCTCCCCCATGAAGCTCAGTTGGCACCATCTTTGCGTTCCTTTCAGCACCAGCTGAAAACTTGTTTAGTTGCCCAGGTATTTTGTTACAAATAAGATACTGAGTTTAAGAACCTGTGTAGAGGCGACTCTGTGATATCATCACATGATTTCTGTTCTCATCCTGAAGCAAAGTTATTAACCTGAGGTACTATTTCTGGTCTGTAACCTGAGGTACCACTGTACAACCCTGACTGTGTTATTGCCCTGCCTTGCCCCAGCCCATTCAGGTGAGCAGCAGTGATGCTTGTGTCAGGCAGTGAGCTCTTTGGCAATGCCCCATGACACCAGTCACTACTGTGGAGAATCTAGAAGCATAGGACTTTGTGAGGAATTATCACATGGAATCTCAAACACAGAAAGGCATAAGAAGAGCCTGCAGGGTCAGTCAGTGGCCCATCTAGTCCAGCATTTTGTTCTTACAGGAAACAACCACAGTCCACAAACAGGACATGAAGGCAAGAGCACTTTCCCCTTCTGCAGGTTCCAGCAACGGGGATCCAGAAGCATCTTGCCTGCAACCGTGCGTGTACAACACGATCGGAGGCCACCTTCCACCCACCCTTCCCAAATGCCGTCCCAGCTTGGCTTTCTTCCATTAGCCTCCACTTTCCTGCCTGGGATAACAGGGAGCAATTTGTCCTTGCATTATGCATACTTTCTATTATGTGGCAGCTTATTCATCAGTAATCTTGCTGTCTTTAATTCTGCTGTCAAAGACTGTGAGAAATGCATTAGAAGTAAGGTTGAGTTCTTGTTAAGTTAAAAAGAATGCCTCGTGGTTGACAACAATGACCTTCATGAGGAAGGCCTAGAAGACGCGGGTCAAAATTCAGCAGAGCTCCAATTATCACTGAGCAGTCGGTAACTGCTTGATAGTTAAGGTGAACTGAGGTGAAGTGTTCACTGCCAAATTCCAGGCAGTTCTATATGTTTGGGGATGGCTATGAATGTTAACGTCTGCTGGCTAGATAAAGGCTGTTTAATCATAGAATCATAGAGTTGCAGAGTTGGAAGGGAATTAAGAGTCATCTAGTCCAATGCCCTGCAATGCAGGAATCTCAACTAAACCATTCAAGACAGATGACCATCCAACCTCTGCAAAAAAAAAAAACTCCCAAGGAGGAAGAGTCCACCATCTTCTGAGGGAATCTATTCCACTGCTGAACAGCTCTTGCCATCAGAAAGTTTTTCCTGATGCTTATTCGTAATCTCCTTTCTTGTAGCTTAAATCAATGGGTTCAGGTCCTACCCTCCGGATCAGGAGAAAACAAGTTTTTCCATCTTCCATGTGGCAGTCCTTTAGATATTTGAAGATTGCTATCATACCTATCTGCTTCTAATGCTACTTTTTTAAAGACACAGACAAGTGCTTAATAATAATGAGCCAAGCCTCATGTCTGCTTCAAAGTCTGGGGTCTAGATTTTCATTATTTAATAGCCAATAAAATTCTTGCCAACTGAAGAACATAAGATGAGCCCTGCTGGATAGCACAATGACCTACCTAGTCCAGTGTCCTGTTCTCACAGTGGCTGAACAGATGTCTGTAGGAGGCGTGCAAGTTTTGGAAGAACCAAATATCTGGCTATGAATTCAACTGTAGACCCCCACATTTGTGGGAGGCCTCTTGCTGGTCCATAAAAGTTTCAGTAAATATTGTTCCTCAGTTGCCCGTGGCCTGAGATCTTGCACATCTTTTGTCTTGAGTTTACAGACAAAGTTCAAAGCCCCTGTGCCAAATTCTTTTTTGGATTAAAGCCAAAGTAGTCTAAACAAAAGCTCAAAAGTGATTTCATATCTCCAGGCTTAAGTGTTGGCACTGAAAATGGATTCTAAGGCTCCAATTCATAGAAAAGATGGCTGTTCTTCTGGACCAGTTTTTGAAACTTTTCTTTTCCTGTTGAGGGCTGTATTCCCATGGGGACAGCATGCCAGAAGTAGGTGGAGCCAGAGTCAAAGATGGGTGGAACCTGAGACAAAAGTATTCCAGATGAATCTATAATAAGGAGTGCCCTGCTTCAAATTTCACCGTGTTTCTTGTTGTTTAGTCGTTTAGTCGTGTCCGACTCTTCGTGACCCCATGGACCAGAGATTCCAGGTTCCTATGCAATATTTTTCTTTACAGCATTGGACTTTCCTTTCACTTCCAGGCATATATGCAACTGAGCGTCCTTTTGGCTTTAGCCTAGTGCTTCATCAGCTCTGAATCTACTTGTACTTGTCCTCCGCTCTTCCCCAGTAGCATGTTGGACGCCTTCCGACATGAGGGGCTCATCTTCCAGCGTCATAACTTTTATATGCCTGTTGTCTTTGTCCATGGAGTTTTCTTGGCAGGGATCCTGGAGTGGCTTGCCGGTTCCTGCTCCAGGTGGATCACGTTTGGTCAAAACTCTCCACTATGGCCTGTCCATCTTGGGTGCCCTGCTCGGTATAGTTTAACGTGTTTACCTTAGATTAAATTCCCAGTTGCATGCAGCTCTACTCAGAAGTAAGCCCCAGTGGATTTTTGAGATCACTGTCAAATAGAGGATTTATTTCATATATTTTTTAGTACAATAGACAAATTTAGTTACTGTTGCAGAGAGTAAAATCCCCCCTCTCCCACAGCAGTCTATTTCTTTTCCTCCCCAGGGCTGCACCTGTGCTCAGCATGCGTTTGCTCCTCCCACTTCATACCTTGTCTGGTTCGGGGGGGTCAGTGGGGAGGGGAGCCTGTTGCAGCAAGAGGGGGAGACACCTGTGACTCTTCACCAGCCTGACTCATCTCCCACTCACCTGCTTCAGCTTCTGCCTCTGATTCTGGACTTCTTTCTGCCACAGATTCTCCCAGCTCACAAACCCATTACCTCCTCACCTCCCAATACCTCCTCTTCCCAGTCTTCTCACTCTGACAACTCATCATTGTCCCACCACCACTCCCTAGGTTCTGAGTCTTCTTTCCTTGGTGGTTCCCTAACTGGTTTCTCCCACCACTCCTCTGTGTCCAACCAGTCCATGACATATCATTAGGCCAACTAGGCAGCGCCTTGGGCACAGACCTCAGAGGGGTTCAA